CTAAGAGCATAGTCCTAGGGTGGGGAGGGCATGGCACACACTCTTCCTCCTTCTGCCCCTTCTCTTTTTAACTCATGGGAGAACATTTAAATGTTTGCTTTCATGTATTAGTTGTATTCTGAATTTTGCATCTTAAATTGATGCAGAGAGAGTTAGTGGGCTTCACCAGATCAAATTAAATGGAACTTTGTAAACCAATTTTTCTTAGGTCAGTTGAACATTTTCAGGAGAATTGGTAACCAAGAATGTTTGCTCATTGGTTTTTATATTTGTTCTGTTTGATATCCAGCTTCTATCATTAACTTGATCAAACTAGAACTACTTGGGGTAAATACTAAAATTATGTTTAGTAACTTTGGTGTTCACTACACTACCAAYTATAAAGTTATAAGAATGTATAAAAAAGATAATTTGTGAAAAACAGACATATAATACAAATATGCATATAAACAATTACCACCAAGTTCACAATAGTGTCAGTCTCATGGGAGGGAGGGTAATGAAAGCAAAGATTTCAACTGCTCTCTCTCTCTCTGTCTTTCTCTCTCTCTCTCTCTCTCTCTCTCTCTATATATATATATATATATATATATAAATTTAATATAGTTGATAGTTTGTGTAATAATATATATGTAATATAATTAGTAATATTAATTTATATAATCATAACACTATACATACAATTTATACCTAAATTATTAAAATATATCTAATATTTGGTACTGGGATTGAACTCAGAGCCTTGGGCATACTAAGTTAATATATAATTTTCAGTACAGGAGAAATCATTATATAATTAAACACTGTTTTATGTTCAAAACATTTCAAAAATATAAGGTAGTTTTTTTAAGGAAGAAAATAATTGAGAGAGCAAGAARAATTTAGAAAACTTAATTATGCAAATGACAAAGTTAGTTTCCAACTCAGGAAAATAAAAGCAACTCAATGTATYCAGGAGACTCCCAGGAAGAGGGTGAGGTGTTCCCTACAGAATTAATATCCTCCATGGAAAATAGCAAAGTTAAAAGTGTAATAGATATCAGAAGCTTTCCATTGATGAATGAAAGATATGCAATTAAGTTGGCATATTTTGATATTAACCATTATGTCAAAATTAGAATTTTATTTAGGAGTTTTTTAAAATTCATTTTATAATCCATCTTCTAATTAAGATATTTTTGTGGTCTGCAAAGTGAAAGAGAATATCATCAATATTTGAATTTTTAAATAAGTAATCATCTTTTTATTTTATGAAATTCACTAGTGAACATATTCAGTGACATACATTTAAATTAACTCAAATATACATGTACATGCATGTGTGCACATACATCCTTAAATCAAATGAAATATTATTATTCCTATRTTCTTGGCTGTTTTGATATGAATTAAGTCTAAAATATTATGCTTTTGTTCTAAAAAGTTGTGACTGATACTTTGGTAATTTAAACCTGAGCCAAATATTTAGTACATGGATGAATAATAAAATCATAAGATTTTTTTTGAAATTAGAAATACATTTTAGGAAAGGAAAATAGCAATGATATTTTTTCATAGCTTTAAATGGTATTTTCATTTAAATATGTCTGTTCATATTGAGAATTTAATCAAGTTAAGAATCAATCTGAAAGATAAGGCAATATCATTTGATAATCCTTTCCCCCCTCTCCAAACCTAGGATTTTCTATTCACTGTACCCCCAGCTCATTTTGTCATGCCTTGTTGAAATTTTACAAAAAGAATAGTTTCCATAGTCCATAGGAATCTAAAACTTTCTAGTCCTCCATTATCTACAGATGTCTGCGCACAACAATTTCAAAGGTACTTTGCTAAGTCTCTTTGAAAAGAAAATCTCACTAACCCATCTGGAATTCTATTAGTTTTTATAATTATGGTTAATTCAATAGTTCATATAATATMTTCAGTAAGTAAAACATCTCTATTGGCTATAACTTTGTGTATTATTTTGATATTTTTTATTAAGATTCTTGTCAGTAATGTCATCCCATTTAAAACAAATGCTACTTTTCACAGTATTTTCATCTTTACATTTTCCCAAATCTTTGTGCCATTTTTAAATAATATTATCCTGCAAGCTTTTTTYYTTTTTTTTTCTCTTTAAACCCCAATATACTTTCAGGGGATGGATACTTGTAGTACTTCTTTCATTTAACATCTGGATTTTAAGTCTTTAGATCATAGGACACTATGCCTTTCCCTCTCTTACATTACTTAGAACAGCACTATGTAAAAGTCCATTTAAGTTTTCGAAGCATTTAATAATACTGTTGATGGAGGTGGGATGGTGGTGATGGTGGTGATGGTGATGTTGTTAGGAGACCCAGAACACAGAGGCCTGACCACATTTGTAGTACCTGCAGTACCTGTTTCCATAGTCATCTTAGTCTCATGATTCATTCCATATACCAAGTTATTCTTATAAATACTACCTAAATTTGGTCTGAAAACTGTACTTAATCAACCAATATTATTTGTTAAATGTTAGGGAGTCAAAAAAATGAGCACTTCTCCTTAATACTTCAAAAGAGAGAAATATTTCCATCCTTTAGCAGGGCTCATAATATCCCTGAGCTGATCATTTTGTAGTTAAAACTCTGTGGCCTAGATACTATGAGTAGAATATCCTCAGCTAACTGGACGAAGACCTCCAGTCCTCAGCTGCTTTGTCCATCCCTTCATCTGTCCCTGAACTGCCCATTTTGCTGTTTCACTGTCAAATTCCCAGAGGGTTATCTGACCTCAGAATTAAAYACCCAGCCTGCCACAGGTGGGTGTTTGGGTTGATCCTTCAAATAGTACTGCATTTTGTCAGAACTCTCAGTACAGARAGTAAAGCATAATATCATGTTCCCAGGAGGATGCAATGTCACCATGTCTCTCCCAGTGAACAATAGGTGACAGCTAATGCCTTTAAAGCAAACTCACTCAACCAGCAACCTCTTAGACACTGGGATGGGACCAAACTGCTTACTTCTCAGCTGATTGCTGCTCTATCGGCTCTCTCTTTACAGCAAAACAAAAACTGAAGGGGAGGAAAATGATGAAGGAAAATGCCAAGAAGTAATAACAGAAATAAAAGATTGTATTTCAAAAGGCATGATTTTTCGATGCTTTAGAAATTTCTTTCTCATGCTTTTGTTATTCAGGATTGCATATATACATTTGAGGGTTATTTGTTATTCCCACATTATTACTGCAGACTAAACTTACTGTGTCAACCTAATTGTTGAATTAACTCAAATCATGATTTGCTACCATAATTAAATAAGAAAATTATGTTATCTAAGAGACATTTAGCGACATTGAACTAATGAAACATCTGTTCTTGGACAAATAATTTATACTGTGCCTCAGATTACTCATCTATCATAGATGATCTCTCATCCCTTCTATTTCTGTTAGCTTATGATTCTACAAAGGTCTTTTTTTCAGGAAAAATGAAAAAAAACACATTTTTCTTTTGTAAGACAGGCCTTTAATTATGCTTTTTATTGTCATAACTGCAGAATAAAAATTGTTTTAGTCTCTGATATGAGTGTTTGTTTTGAATTACAGAAGCTAAATGTTTTCAAAGCTAAATTCTTTGAAAAGAATTTTCTTTTCCTTTTTTTTTGTATTTTTCTCTCTGTTATTAGCTTTCCTTTCAATAGATGGTGCTCTTTTCTCAGAGACACTACTGATCTTATTTCCCATCAAAAGATAAGGAATATTCGCTTTACTCTTTAACAATCATTAATTAAAGAAATCAGACGTAGAAAGAAAGTAGAAAGACTCAATTGCATGCAATTTACAGCACCTTGGGGATAAAAGCATAATGGGGAGACTGATAAATGATTCAAGAGCCCCATCTAAATCTGCAATATTTGCTGAATAGATGAAGCAAATATTGTAACTAAATATGACAATGCCATGTTCACAATGTACATATAACCCAAAGTGGAAGGAAAAACTCAAATCTGGAGCCATTTTGAAGTGTTAAAATTTTACCTACTTTAACAAAAGTGAATGTGTTAGTATTTTACATTCACATATAGAATTGAATAGACACATCAAATGTCAACACAATCAACATCAATCCAAGTATTGAGAGTCYCAATACTGAGATTGTACACACTTTGCCAAACACACATGGAACATCTGGGCAAATAACATGGACCACTAACTCCTTTGAAATAATTTTATTAGATAAATACACTTTGTTTCTTTTTATTCCCCAAAGCACCTTGTACAACTTTCTAATAATAGTCTGTAATGCTGATTTCTGCTGCTTTTAGTCACTTCAACTTGTGGAGACATTAAAAAATAGTTTTGTCCTGCAGTTCTTCTGAACCATCTTATGTGTTCCAGATGCAATTTATCATTCCTCTAATAGACCTGCAGCTAGCAACTGCAAACTCATCTAGGCAACACAACTGTCATGTTTGCTACAACAAAGCACAACCACCTACCAAAAAGACATGCCAGGGAAAGTCCCTCTCCCCAGTGTGGCCTCAGGATGCAGAGAGAAGGACATGAAGGATTCTATGACTGGGGAGAAGGGGTGGGGCTGTAGTACATCCTAAAGTAGCCAGTGGAGGAAAGTTGGCAAGGTGCATCTCTATTAGGGTGCAACTCAATTAGGGAAAAACTCCTCAGAATTCCACCCCCATTATTCACCAACTTTATTTAGCCATACTCACGCAGAAGGGCAGACCATACATAGGACACTGTACCAAGAGCCCCCTTGTCTCAGTATAAGAGGGCTTTACCAAAGAGCACCCCCACCCCACATTTAGACCTTTAACTGCTCAAAGGAACTTCTCTGCTTTGGGGATTTTGGACTCTTTCTTGATCCAAGGGAGGGAAAAATAGGAAAATAGTTTTGGATCCACAGACAGCATCCCTCTGTCCACCGGTGCCCCTGTTAACTCCCCTCTCTCACCCTCCYGCCTTACGGCTCCAGTGTGCCTTTTTCAGTCTGCGCTCGGAGCCTTCCTTACCTGACGATCACGTACATGACCAGGAAGTTTCCGAAGAGCCCCACCACACACACGATGGAGTAGAGGGCCATGATGGTGATGGCCGTGATCATGGAAGGACTGCCGGACGGAGGGCACTGGCCGCCGCTCCCGCCCAGCTCGGTGCGGTTCGGACCGCAGGGGTCGGACAGGTTGCCATCAAAGTGGGACAAGTTGACCCAGGAACTGGTGCTCGGAGCTGGGGGGCAACTGGATCGCGGGAAGGGATCACTGCAGTTGCTGGCGTTCGCGGGGACGGCGCTGCTGTCCATGGTGCTGACGGCCTGCCGGGGACCAGGACGCGAGGTAACCCGGAGCTCCCGGACTTTTCGGGTTCCACGCGCCTCAGCCGCTTTCTCTCGCCGCTGCCACAGCTCCGGCTATTTCTTACAGGGACCAACTCTGGCGGAACCAGAGGGGAGCGTCAGGCAGAAGGGGGAAGCTGCATCTGACATGATCTTCCGCTTGCTGCCCCCTCCCACTTTAGTAGTACACAGAGGCACGTCCCCAACCCCACAGCGACAGGCGCGGGGAGGGAGGGCTGTGGGGGATGCKGAGTCTGGAGAGGAGGGAGAGGAGAGGGGTGGATTTTGCGCAAAGCAATTCAGGGAGTCCAGCTCTTCCCTGGGCACTCTGCTCTGCAAGCACTTCTAACATCTAAGGGGGGCGGTGGCAGAATGCAGGAGGGCAACAGTTGGGGAGACAGGCTGGGGAGAGACACAGAGTTTCTTGGCAGCACTAAAGCATAAGAAAGGGGGCTGACATCACTCCATTTTCCAGCACCGTCTTCTCTCTCTGTAATCAGACAGGAAAGACACTGTCCCACGCAACCCTGACAGCCCTCACACCCCAAGCCTCAATGTCCTCCCATTCCTACTTCCATTTCCCCTCTTTTTGATATTCTTAATGCATCAATCCCTCACATTTGAAAAAAGGGAAATGGTGAGTCTTAAATTTCCAACCTTATAGACTTTTCTGAAACAAGAGTAATCTTTTTTTTTTCCTGAAAAAGAAATAAGAAACAAATAAACTTTGTTGAGGAAACATGTTGCTTTTTACCCCCAACTCTCCAATGTCTCCTAGAGTGAAAGCTCTTTTTGCCTTCGATTTTGTCTTAGTGAGAAAGGGGCACAAGAACTGGTTACAAAACCCAGGTCCACTAAAGAGAATGTTGATGCTCCACGTCTTAAATCTCAAGACCTGTTTGGAACAGACTTACCAGAGAGACACATGCTTCTAAGAAGGGCAGTACAATTCAACAAATCTGCATTGTTTCAGTGTTTTTTTCTAGTGTGAAACTCCAGGAGGAGTTACATAGGTTACTGGAACCAAAGTGGCCTACAGCAAGGTCCTTGAGGGACACTAATAGATTTTTAGATTATAACTCATTTCTAAGTTCACAACTGCTTCTATTTAGAAATAAACTTATAAGTACAACAGGAGTAAGGTATTTTGTGAAGTTAATATTCACTAATTCTGAACTCACTCTCATTCCTACACATTTTTGTCTTTGCACATATCTATACCTTTTAAACATAAACATTGGAAATAAATATTCCCAATTGTTTGTGGAAAGTTATCTGTACTCTGTGAAGCAGGGAGGATGGAAGCTTGAAAGGAACATTTAATTCCAGTATTATTTTTAGGCATTTGTCTTAAAAACAGATAACTCATAGGTAAACTGTATTAATCATAGGTCATTTTGTCAGTGTTCAGTAATATTTTTATCCATTTGCATGAAAGGGTATAATTTCAGCAATAAAATGTTTCAGAGATTTCCTAGAGACTAGTAAAAATGTCTTATTCTCCTTTGAAGTAATGTATCCACTCACTTGCACTGAACCTGCTATTCACCCATCCAGTCCCTTGAGAACCCAGAACCAGTCTACACTGAACTTTGTGTGAAAGACAAACAGGCATTCTGCAGCAAGCCCTACCCTTGGAGTTAAATTACTTTGTGACACAGATTTGTAATTTGGGGACTGTATAAATTTGAATATGTTACTTCATCTCAAGAGTGATAATTTTCTCATCAAAGTAAGAACTTCAACTTTAGGCTTCAACATATATTCTCAACTGAGATTGATGTTTTTCTTCTATTGCTCTTTCTCATGGTCCACTGAGGATAATTATTATCCTTTTATTTTTAAGGCAAATTTTCTGGGCATTATCATATGTCCTCCCTTAATTTATATTAATGTATGTGTCTCAGTATCTCCTAACCATTCAATATACCACCTGAGAATATACAGAACAAATTTAATTTCTCTTCCAAATACATGCACTAAGATAGCGTTGAGAAACCCAGAGGAAAGTTATATAAAAATAATATATTAATATCATCAATGTATAGCATAAAAATATCTCAAATTCCAGTTTCTGTTATTTATTAGTTTTCTTCATAACTGCATATTTCCTATGAGAGTGGTCTAAAATCTTGTGAAAGTTTGAGTCTTTCATAAATGCGGTGGACTGAATAAATGAGTTGATTATCTATAATCCTAATTGTTTACTCTAACCTAGATTCTAACCACATGAACTTTAATACCCTGAACCTTAATAGTTTATCCATATAATAGGAACATCTGATTTTTTTTTGTTGAGGTTTCTTGCTTATACCAGACTTTCTACTTGAAGTAAGAATAATCTATCTAATATATAATAATCTATTATCTATCAGTCTAGATCATTGGGATCAAGCCTGTATTATAAAACATTATTCATGAAAATAGTAAATTTCAAAGCAATGCATTTAGTCATCACATGGATGGATTCCAGGAAAATGCTAAGAGTCACTCCTCTTCCTTGAGTTTCAGAATATACTGGCTTTTGTTCTTCATGCATTTGKCATCATCTACACTTATTTTAATACCTAGGCCCTGATTTTTTGAGTGTCTGTTGAGGAAACACATTAATGAGGAACAGAAGCATAGGTTCTCTGCATGAAACAATTACAGTGGTTTGGAGCCCAGGAAAAAAAGGGACATCCAAGGTTTGATTGGAAGAATATGTTCTGTATTTGTTTTAGGATATTTTCTGTTATCTCAGGTTTACACGTGGAGAGCTAATGAGAAGGCAATTGTATTACTACACAATACTACTCTTGATCACTGGATTGCTGCATAATTATTTACTAAAATAAAATAGCCACATTTTTTTTTCATTTACATGGTAAAAAATAAGTAAGTAAATAAGAACAAAACAAGCAAAAAAAAAAAAATCCTCAGCCCCCTCCACTGGTTAAAGCTAAGAGAGARGAATCTGGGTGTGGACAAAAGCCCTGGACTTGACATCAAAAGGCAGTTTGGAATCCAGGCTCTGCTTTTTACTTTCTTGTGACTTAAATTACTCATGCTTCTTGATAGCTGGTTCCTTTTCTGTAAAGCAAAAATGTAAGCATCAACGATAAAGGAGTTTTTCAGGACTATAGTATATGAAAGAACTTAACTTTTGCATTTTAAAAAAATATTTTGTTGTATGTAGTCAGCAAATTAGCAAGAAGAATTATTGGCAACATTAAATTAGATAAATGATACAAAACTGAGTTTAGGAATTGATTCTTTTAAGGACCTGAAGGTGGTACCCCACTCAATCAACTTATTTAGTAATGCATTTAAACAAGTACCTTAAGTAATCCTTAGTTCTAAATATCTTAATATTTGGAACCTCATTTTTCGTTTAGATATTGTTCTTCAATTTCCATTTATAGAGGTTTGCTGTTACCCTATATATTCTCTTATCTCTTTATATTTAGATAAAGAGTTGTAGGATTTTTAAGCCTAGGATTCTTTGTGTGTGTGTGGGGGGGGAGGTGGGGCTTACTAGGGATTGAACCCAGAGGCACTCTACCACAGAGCACCATCCCCAGTCATTTTTATTTTTTATTTTGAGACAGCGTTGCTAAGTTGCTAAGGTTGGTCTTGAACATGTGATCCTTCTGCCTCAGCTTCCTGAGTTACTGGGATTCTAGGTGTGTGCTACCACACCCAGCATCTGTATCTTTGACTGTTATTTAAAGCCTTGGATTTTAAAGAGTTAGGTATGCACTTTCACTGGAAATGCAACATGTCCAAACTATTGTTACCTTCCTATCCAAAAATACTTCTCATAACACTATTGCTTTCCCCTAATTTCCCAAGCCAGAGTCTGTAGCTGTCCTTAGCACTGCTAGGTAGGCAGCATTTCATAGTGGTTACCACCATAAATTCTAGTTTCCATTTCTTGGTAAAATTCTGTTTTATCCATGAACAACTGGTAAGACCATGGTCAACTTAGTTAACTTGTTGATGGTCTTTTTCATCTTTAAAGTATTATTTCCAGTAGTGTCTATTTCATAGGGCTTTAATGGGTATTCGATAAGTTTTTCTTAATAAAGCATTTATAAGATTCCTCAGCACATGTAAGGTGATATAAATATTTGTCAAATAAAGTCATTGACTGTGTTCACTCCTTTTTCATTCTAGCATTATGATAATTGATTCTGCCTTTTAAATTTCTTCTCATTCTTGGTATCATTTTTCTAGTTTACACTTTTAAAGTCCATACAGAATTATGCAGTAAGCTCTTTGGTGATCTACTCCTTCTCCATACATTTACCCTATACACTGTTGCTAAAATGAGATTTCAAAAATGGAAGTCAGACTGCTCCATTGCTGACCATGCTTGTTGTCTCTCCACAATTTGCAGGATGAAGTTGACTCTCCTGATATCAAAGGGCTTTCATGACCTACTTTTCTAACTGAATCTCTGGATACTCACTGTTTACATTTTATTCTCTTAATGACTGAAGAGCTAATAGTTTGCTCCCCATGAATATACTGACCTGCTACTAAAGAGCTTGCCAAACTCTCTTGCCTCTGTTTTTGCTCATTTTTTTCTTTAGCCCACAGTAGATATTTAAGAAACATTTTCTGACTATGAGCATTGTTTCCTTTCATAATATAGGAGAGCTTCAGTCAGTTCTATAGCTACYAATTGGTAGGACAGTGGTACAGACCCAGTGAGTAGACATATGGTGAGGAAGATCTCAGAATCTGTGGACTTGTGCCAAACACATAATTTCCTTTAGGTATCTTTAGTAAGACAATAATTTAAAATTGCTTAACTGCCAGCATTTTTATGTTATTATTGAGACTACTCACCTCCTTGTTTTTGAGAAAAAGGAAAAGGAAATTTTATTACTTTGCTAGCAAAGGTGAAACCCAGGAGAATCCTATCCCAGAGGCTGTGATTCTGCCCATCAGCAGGAACAGGGGGTTTTTAAACTGGTGGTTCAAAGGCTACATTCCATTTGTTCTCTGTTGCAGTTGTAATTCACTTGTTAATTTGGGAGATAGCCATTTCTGAGATTTTCTGATGCTATCCTCAAAGTCTGGATTACTTCATTTCTCTGGTGGGTATGTACTCAAGGACAGATAACTCTGTCTAGGTTGGGGAAGAAAGGTAATCCTGTTTCCTCTGAGATTGGAAAGGGGGAGAGATATGGGAGGATCAGAKAAAGAAGAAGAGAAAGAAATATTTTCATTTTAAAAATAAGTTGTAGTGGCAGAGCAGCAAGGGCTACATTCAAAGCATAAAGTGAACCACTGTTACATTTCTCCACTGTCAATTTCCACATTTCATTTCTACAGAAAAATGGGTGATGACATCTCCAA